CTTTGAAGACCCTGACCATTCAACTCCTAAACACTCATTTCCACCTACGGTGTGTCTCACTTTCCTTCGTCTGGCTGCTTCTAAGTCTTCTGTCTGGAGCCACTCAAGCCAACCTGATAAAACTGTCATTTTGAAAACGATGTACTGATACAATTGATGTATGGATTCCTGTAAGAGCTGGAAGAGCTCCCAATAAAAGGATTTTTTTAAAAAAAGAAAACAAAACTGTGAGCAGTTTGTCTTCAGTGCTTCTCTTTTAGGGGTCTGTTCTCACCCTCTTCCCACCCACTGCTCACACTTGGTAGTAGTGACTGGGTGGCGTGAGGTCAATTATAACTCATAGTGACCACATGTGATGGAGTAGAACTCTCCCACAGGTTGTCTAGGCTGCAATCTTTACAAATGTACTGTACTTTTACACACATAATGCATGCGTTACACAATTTGGGGAGGGGCGGGGTGGGGGTTAAGTAGTACTCTAAGAATTGTCCTCCCGCTGCCCCTAGCTACATTCTGGACCCTATTCTTGTCTGACTCTGTATCCGTATCTTGGGTAGCTGCAGGAAGGGAAGCTGTGATGTATACCAACACACAGTGCAGTGTGAACTGACAGAATGGGAGATCCCTCCGGTTAAAGAGACACTGGTGAATGAAGGCGCTGCACCATACCAAAGCAAAGTCCTAGCAGGTGAGCTGAGGCACCTCTGGCCAAAGTTAGGGATTTCAGCCCTTGGTCAGACGTCTTGCTTAGTCCAGCCCACTTTTCTGGACCCCAAGATCAGTCAAGACTGTGCTTCATCTTTAGGGCGATGTACTGGGGGAATGGGTTTGCTCGACTTGAGGGCTGTTTGTGGTTTTAGAAATTGTGCTGCGACTTCTGCTGAGTATCAAAGTGCTCAGTCTTACAAAGTTAAGCCTGAAGAGGTTCAGAAACTAAAAACCTACCCGGCTACCTCCTGCTCGTCTTCGACAGGAAGAGACCTGCGTGTCATCCTCTGCTTCTTCATGGCAGCTGACTTCTCTCCATAATAGGGGTACACCATGAGGGCCCCTTGGGGATCCCGCTTGATGCGCAGGTTGGTGTGCAGCAGGGTGCCCAGTGCCCGTAGGAAGCTGCGGGCATCCTGGAGCAGCTGCTCAGGCGGCAACAGCACCACGACAACCAGGGTCCCCTCGGCCAGGTTCTCCGGCTGGTCAGCAGCACAGTCCAGGCCGTCCCAGCCGCACTCCTCGCTGTTGCAGCCCTGGTCACAGTGGTTGTCTTTGTAGTGGTCTGCGCAGTACTTGTCATACCTGGGCAGGGAGGGGCAGAGGAGGCAGGGAACAGGGAAAGGGGTTCAGGACGGCCTGGAATTCTATTTGCTTTTCCACCTGCAACGACCAAGGCTTTTCCAACCCATCATCTGGAGGCCAACCCAGGACCCAGATGTCCCAGGGAGCCTGTCTGATTTCTCCTCTCTCTGACATCTAGAGGCCAGCTCCGCCCCCTGTGCACTCTTCAATGAGCGCTCCCTGAGTGAGGTACAGGCAGCTCTCTGCCCACTCGGCACCATGGGCTCACCTGCCCATGGGGTGCTTTCTAGCTGAAATTCCGTATCTGAAGTAAACACCAGCCCAGTTTGTGCTTCCTCTACTTTCGTATACACTGCCCCTGGTGAGCTCTCCACGGTGAGCTCCTGGAAGCCAGAGTTGACTCTAGAAACTGGAGAACTAGCCGGGAGCCATCAAGAGTTGCCCTACGGAGGCCCAGGCCGATGTGGTCCACTCTTCCCCTGGCCAAACTGAGCCCCACCTAGAAAGGGTAGAGGGAATGTACATTCCACATTGCACAGCAGACCCGACGTGTAGCCTTCCCTAGGTCCTTCCCCAAAATCAAATATTGGGGAATGGAATGTGAGGCCAGAACTCAAATCCTGTGCATGCTACTTCGGTGGTCCTCACCTCCCCCTGGCATTTGTACTAGTGGGTAAAACTTACCTTCCTCGCTCAAGGGAGAGGTCAGGAGTCCGGAAGGATGTCTATGTTTTTTGGAAAGTTGCCTGACCTCTCCAGGCCTCTGCTCCCTCACTGGGAAAACCAAAACCCAACCACGGCCATCGAGTTGACTCCAACTTAAAGCAACCCTGTGCAGCGTTTCCAAGGCTGCCTATCTTTAAGAGATCGCACAGCCGCACCTTCCTCCTGAGGAGCAGATGGGGGTTTGAACACCTGCCCCATACTGCCACCAGGGCGCCTTTGTCACTATGAAAGAGCCATGCTCTATCTGTGCCTCACAACGTTGTGGGTCATTCGCTGCGGTTAAATGAAACGGGATGGTAGATTTTTATGGTGCCACGGAAACCCTACAGCAACCATAAAATTGCCAAAAAGCTGAAACAATGAAGACCAGGAGGGCTAACTGAGCGACCCAGTTGATCTTAAGTATCCGACAAAACCCAGATAAGAAAAGCCAGTCTTCGGGAACGGAATGAATGGGTGATAAGGGACAGGTACAGACCTTTCTGTCCATCCTGCAGGCAGGTGACGTAAGAGGCTGCCTGGGAGAGGCTGCCCGGGAGCTATTTCCCCCAGGAAGTGGCGCGAGCAGCAGGTGAGAAGGCAGAGAGAGCAGAGAGAGGGTGACTGTGCAGTGAGCAATCCTGAGCCTCTTGTCAGCCGGGAGGCCATGGGGTCGGATCGTGTGCGGCGGCGGGACCAGGCTGCCGGCCCGGAGAAGGGGGCCTCGGGGCACCCGGCTGGAAAGCAGAGGCAGCTTGGGCTGAAGCACTGGAGTGGTTAGGAGCGAGAACAGAGACGGAGCTGTGTTAGTGACAGTCCCTCTCAGCCTCTGGGGACCTGCGCCCTTACTTGCACGCCTTGCTGTTCCGCTGGCACTCGAAGTTGTCAAAGAGGCACTCGGCCGTGTTGCACAGCTCGTCACACTGGTCGTTGATGTAGTCCCAGCAGGGCAGCGGGGAGGAGCAGTTGGCCCAGGGGTTCTCCATGGTGAGCGAGCAGTCGCCCCCGTCCCACTGGCAGGCGTGGCTGTTGCAGGCCTCATCGCAGACACCGTCCCGGGCTTTGTCAGCGCAGTACTGACTGAGACACGTGGCAGGAGGTGTGCTGGGGGGCGGCGTATAGAGTTCACAGTGGCTGCCCTGGAACGAGGGAGGGCACTGGCAAGAGTAATAAGGACGCTGGTGCTGAGGATAGCAGGTGCCCCCGTGCTGGCAGGGGCTGCTGGAGCAGCCTGGCTCACAGTCCTGGGGGTTGGGGCAGAAGCAGCGGGGTCCTGAGGCAGTGTGCACGCACTGCTCCCCTCTCCTGCACTTGACTTGTCCGCAGCTGCTCTGGCATCTTGCCCCGGAGAAACCCTGTGGAAATCGGTGAAGAGATGAGGCTGGCGGGAAACGCTGGAGGGCTTGCCTGCTCCCCCCTCCCGACCTCCTCCCTGGCACATCTCCGGAGAGAAAGGCCAGGCGCCTCTCTCAGATCCCTCACGCAGCCTCCTGGGCCAAGGTCTCTAAAGCCCTCTTCAAGTCACCCTGTAGGCCTGGGCTGAAGGGTCCATGGGGTGAGAGCAGCATTCCCTCATTAACAGAGCACTTCTGGCAATTACGTCCAGGTGACACTCTTATCTACACGCACCTTCTCCAACCACCCGGTAATCAGTCTGATAAAGGATCTACCGGGAGAAGTTCTCATGTCGCCTTGCAGTCTTCCTTCCTGCCTCGCCAAGGCAAGCTTACTGAGCATCTATGGGTCTCTCTCCATTTGAGGGAGGCTCAGCTTCTGACAGAGCTAACACACCGTGCATAGCACAAGGACAGAAGAAGGTTTGTTCTCCCGAATGGTTCCTGCCAAAGCCTTAAGTCGCCTTCCCAACCAGCGCTGGCCCAAACTGGGTACCGAACGCCTCTGCAGCAGAGGACTGGGAAGCCGGAGGCCCCGGCGATTTGCAGATTTGCAAGGATTCGCTCTGCCACTTCCTCGGAGTTTGCCTCGATGCGTCTCAAGACTGACAGTCCAACTCAGGAGCTACTCTTCCTGGGAGATATTAAACTGCATTTTTAAACTTAAAAACAGAAGAAGCTTTTCATTGTGGTTTGGGTAAAAATTCACAGAGCAAATCGGTTTTCCACTCAACGCTCAGCGGTTTGTGACAGCGGCTGCAGGCCTCACGGTGTGACGGCACTCCTGTCACTTCCACCCTCACGTACGTACGTACCACTTCCACTGCTTTCCTCCTCGTCTCTCTCCGCATTCAATCTGAACTTCAGCCCAGAGCCAATGGTGCCCTTTTGGATTGCCAGCGCAGTCCCGTGGCGGGCTGTTCCAGGTCCTGTGGACCTCCCCGGGGCTGCTGCTGCTGTTGCCAGATGCCATCGCGTTGGCTCTGACCCACGGTGACCTTTTGCACAACAGAAGGAAACACTGCACGGTCCTCCTCTGTCCTCACAATTGCTCCTAAGCCTGAGCCCATGGATGCAGCCACTGTGTGCACGCGCCTGGTCGAGGGCCTTTCTCTTTCGCAGTGTCCTTCTCCAGAGACTGACCTCTCCTGACAATATGGCCACCGTAGGTAGGACAAAGTCTTACCATCCTTGCCTCTGGCCCTACTTCTTTCAATAGACTGTTTTGTCCTTTAAGCAGTCCAGAGTATTTTCAATATTCTTCTCCAGCAACATGCATATGATACAATGGAAAACACCATGGCTTGGGTCAGGCGCACCTTAGTTCTTAAAGTAACATCCCTGCTTTTCAATACTCTAAAGAGGTCTGGTCTTGTGCAGTAGATTTACTTAATGCAATGTCTTTTTTCTCTTACTGCTCCTTCCATGAGCATTGATTGTGGATCAAAATAAGAGGAAATCCTTGGCAACTTCAACCTTTTATCTACTGAACATGATATTACCAGTTGATCTACTTGTGAGGACTTTGGTCTATCCTTACTGCAAGCTACAAGCCTTGATCTTCATCACAGGGAGTCCGGTCCTCCTCACTTTCAGCAAGCAAGGTTGGGTCATCTGCATACTGCAGGCTGTTAATCAGTCTTCCTCCAATCCTGGTGCTGCACTCTTCTTCATACACTCCAGCTTCTCTGATGACTGGCTCAGCGTACAGCTTGACCACATACGGTGAGGGTACACAATCCTGACACACTCACATTTCCTGATTTTAAACCGTGCAGTGTTTCCTTGTTCTGTTCACACAACTGGGAGGCTGTGAACACCTCACGCACAGATTCCCAGGTGCTTCTGGTCACATTATAGGCCATCTATTGTGTGGTTGAAAGTTGTCAACAGCATTAAGTGAAAAAACCCAAGTGTTTTCTTCAGAAGGATCTGAAACTGAGAAATCTCCCCATCGTGGTGCATGAAGCAACAAAGCAAAATAGGATGAAGCGTCACTTGGGGAAGAGATTGCCCAGAGGAGAACATGCTCCTTAAAGCATCCACAGGACACTTACCGGGGGACAACGACAAATGAAGCCATCAGGCATGTTGCTGGCCACAGCACACGTCCCTCCGTTGAGACAAGGCATCTGGGGGCACACATCCATGAAGGTCTCACAGTGACGGCCTCAAGGCAGAAAACAAAGAGGGTTATTAGAGGCCACAGTAGAGATGGCAAGTTATTGAACAGAGCCCTGCAGGCACGTGAGTTAGAGCATTAGTGATGGAGCAACATGTACTTGTGTGTGTGTGCATGCAACAGTTGAGTTTTAATCCCATGGGAAGATGAGAGAAAGAAAACACTATCTCCATCTCAGGGTTATCCTGGCTCCACTGCCTCGCTTGCCTCTCTCACAAATAGGTATATGCACATGTGCTCTGGACCAACTCACAGAGCAGATTGGATGTAAAAAGTGACCCTAATCTAATCCCACAGGAAAGAAAGAAGTAAAAAGGAAAAGGAAACTCAGTCTGTTGAAGGTATGTTGGCTTTCCTAAGTTAAAGGAAACACAGCAAAATCATTCACTGCATTCTGTTAACATCATCTACCTCATAGAAGTCGTTTTACTAGGCCAAAACATCTATATGATGATTTGTGCTACAATCTCTTTTCAATTACTTCTGGCTGTTCTGAAACCTGAGTGGCCTTGCTTTCAAACGTAGGTGACCAAACTTGTTTGGTCTACTGCCCCCTATTCAGAAAAAGAAGAAGAAGAAATTCTCCCAGGGGATGGTATCACCCACTTTGGAAAACACTGATTAAAACTCAGCTCAGTTTTTGCAGAGTTAATTTTCTCCAGGTACAGTTCTGGAACAGAATGTCTATGATGAAGTCAACTACACACCTCCCCATAGGATTTCCGAGACTGTTCGTGTTTATGAGAACAGGCAGCTTTATTTTTCTCCTGTGGACCCAACCTTCTGATCTTGTGGTTAGCAGCCCAACACATAAACCATCACACCACCAGGGCCCGTCAGAGTGGACCAAGCAACTGAAACTGTGAAGGAGACGTCGAGTACAGCTGAAGTCTCTTGGCACCTGGGGAGATGGCCCCCTTTGGACAGTACTCACTTAGCAGGAACAAGCGAGCCATTATAGGTTGAATTATGTGCCCGAAAAAGACACCCTCAAGTACCAACTCTCGGCAACTAAACGTAACCTTCCTTGGAAAAGGGTCTTCAAAGATGCCATCAGCTGGGTTATATTAGAATAGAGTGGCTACAAAACTGAGCGATGCCTTTAAAAAGACGAAGAGCCACAAAGACATACAGAAGTCAAGACCCAAAGAATGCCAGAAACTGGGAGCGGTTCAGCAAGATGTCCAATAAAACCTTCAAGAGAGGACTCACCATGGCCTTGCTGGTACCTAGTTCTAGGACTTCTAGCATCTAGAACTCTGGGTTAATAAACAAGTCCATTTTCAGCCACCTGTGTGGGAATTTGCTAAAGCAGATCTAGAAAGGGAACTGCTGTTGTCAGGTGCTGCTGAGTTGGCGCCAACTCACAGGGACCCTGCGCACGCCAGAATGGAACACCGCCCGGTCACCCACACAATTGCTGTTGTTTGAACCCTGGTGGCAGCCACTGTGCCAACCCCTATCACTGTCTGCCTTCCTCCTTTCCTGCCCCTCTGCTTTACCAAGCCTGAGGTCCTTCTCCAGGGACTACGGCCTCTTGACCACAGGCCCAAAGGAGCTGAGAGGAGTCTCTCTCAACTTCCTCACTTCTAAAGGACATGCTTCAGAAGGCAGGGCAATGGAAACAGGGTTAGAACCACTCCCACCTTGCTACCATTTTACTCTATGTTTACGACGGCAATGATATAATCAATGTCTACAAAAGGGAAAGCGTTGCTTGGGCAACGGAAACGTGGAGATTGCTTATTATAACGTAGCATTGCGCTCTGCCTTTGGAAACCAGGAGCCCTTAAATTAAGTTGGCTTCTCACTCACTCATTCACTGTCGTCCAATCAAAGCCGGCCCATACCAACCCTATAAACAGAGTCAAACTGCCCCTGTGCGTTTCTGAGCCTTTAACTCTTTATGGGACGAGACAGCCTCACCAGTTTCCCTCGGAACCACCCACTGGTGGTTTCAAACGACTAACCTCTTGGTTAGCAGCCTCAAGTATAGCCCACTGTGTCTCCAGGGCTCTTAAGCTGGCCTACTTTTCCATAGGGAAGAAATTCTTCTCTTAGGTTGGGTCAAGTAGAGCCTGGCCCAATTTCCTCACTGCTAGATCCCCCAGTGGCAGAGAGGCTGGCAGGCCCGAAGGTTCTCACCGGTGAAGGCGCTGCGGCACACACACAGGTAGTCGTTGGTGCGCTGTATACAGTCCAGACTGCCCTCGGAGCTACAGGGGTTGGAGAGGCACTCGTTGATGTCCCCCTCACACCGGTCGCCAGCAAAGCCAGGCGAGCAGTGACAACTGTAGCCTCCAATTCTGTCCACACACTGGCCACCATTGAGGCAGTGGGGACCCCCAGCACAATCATCGATGTTCTCTTCACAAAGCAGGCCTGAGGAAGGAGAGGAGAGAGCACTGTGAAAACCTTTGGCACCACCCTCCAGTGTGGCTGGTACTGTACAATGAGTAGCCTCTGCTCTTCACGCTGCTGGTGGGTTCTTCTGAGCCGATTCTGACCCCACGACCCTGAAACAAACAGCCAGACACAGAGAACTGCTCCCGGCCTTTACCGAAGCAAACTGGCGCAGCTTTCTGTGACGGAACAGCTGGTAAGTTTGAACTGTTGACTTTTTGGTTAGCCGCTAAGCACCAACCACTGCACCACCAGGGCTGGCTTCTTTCTCCACCTGTAGTGGGACCTTTTAGGTTGGACAGGGCAGACATACTCTTATTTCATGACATCTACCTCTACTGGAGAGCAGTATGAGCAAGGGGAGAATCTGCTTAGGGCTTCACGTGGATTAGCGCACCATCCAGTGAAGCAGCACCCTATGGACCAGGTACTCTGATGGGTGCCGTGGACCAGGTACTCTGGTGGGTGCCGTGGACCAGGTACTCTGATTTGTGCCATGCCAAGACAAGGGGCCTGGTGCTCCAGAGGGAGGCAGGAGAGTTTCGTCAGTTTAGTCATGACAAAGAAGCACAGTGCAGACAAGGACACAGTTTAGCAATCATACAGATATCTAGGTAAAAATACTAGTAATGACTGGAACTGAAGTATGAGTGATGTATGCTTGAGTCTTAGACCCATTGGAGGCTTTCTGTAAAACAGTGTAAATACACTAAAACAGAGGGAAAGCACCACTGAAAGCTCCAAAGTTACTTGGTTGACAAGAACACTCTTTTGATGCACCAGGGATGCAAACGAGTCCACCTGTATGGATGTCTGCACGCGTTTTACATAAAGGAAGAGAAGAAAGAAGCAACTACATGAGATATTAATTATTTCATGACAAACTCTCAGAAGTTACCAAAGAAAGGAAGACAATTCTATATTCTTCTCACTTGCATTTGTAGCATGGACTAATACAATAAGCAAGGGTATTCAAAAGAAAAAGAAATGTGAAGAAAGGCTTCATTTTCCAATAGTGATAACACAAGATACAATACCGACGAATAATCACGACAGAAATGTGCTCCACCTCTATGCAGCTAGCTTTAAACGGTGCTTAAAGAGCCACGAGAGCACTTGAGTTCATGGAAAGACACACATGACTCATTCAGGAAGACTCCTCATCACAGAGATGGCAGCTCTCTCTGCACTCATTCACAAAATTAGTGACTCCAATTAAAAAAAATGCCAATAGTATTTTTAGTAGGAAGTTGATTCTAAAGCTAAAGGAGAAAGTCGTTTTCCAGAAAGCCGTGAAGAAGAAGGCCCTTAGTAAGTAGAACATGAGGCACTGCTGAGTTAACAGAACAAAAGAACCACACTCACATGAAAAGGAAGACACTGACACACACGTAGGGATTTAGAGTCTGAGAAGATGCCATCTCTAACCCTTGGCTGAAAGAGTAACTCATCAATAGATTGTGTTGGGACAAATCTTTAGCCAGAGGGGACGCACTGCCAGTACTTAAAGAAGAGCATGGATGCTTCCTTTAGAACCTTGGTGTGTGCAAGGTGTTGCTAACTAGCAGCCAAAATCCAGAAGCTATAAACAGGCTGATAAAGTCAGCATCATTGGTCGCGGGGGAGGGGAGTGGGGAGGGATCTGTGTGGAAACTAATTGAATTACCAGTTATGGAACGAAAGACTCAGAATGCAGCCTGTCTGTCTGTCTGTCTTTCATTGTAAAAAGATCGTTGGCGTGAGCACGGAGTTACAGGGATAGGGGAGGCGGACTTCATACCCCGAGTGCCTGGCGGACAGGAGCACTTGAAATGGTTCACGAGGTCGATACAGGTGCCTCCATGCTGGCACGGGTGGTTCTGGCACTCGTCCACTTCATACTCACAGTTGACACCCTGATACCCTGGGACGCACTGCCAGGAAGAAGCACAGGGACACAGAACATTGGACCAGGATGGGAAATGGCAGTGGAGCAAGGGAGACCCAGATGTTCCTGTGCCCCACTCTCTTAGCTCCTGGGGTCTTAGCTCTCTTCTCTGGGGTCACCACATTCTGTGCAGGTCGGTCTGCGGCTTGTCAGCGTTTACCTAGTCCTCTTCCAGAAAAAATGTAATCCTTATACAAAACTTTTTCCTTCCTGTAAATGAACTTCCTCAGTAAAAAAGCGCATATTCCTTTGTATGCGATGAGAACCCTTCTGACCTAGTCAGGCAAACCTGGGGTTGGTGGTAAAGAGGTTGCATTTCTCCATTTCCAGGTTCAGAAAATGGTCCACACATGGGACCCTGGTTGGGATAGATCAGGGGCAGGGGGAGGTGTGGCTGACTGGCTGTGATCAGGAAATAAAGCTTTTCTCAGTGTTGCGTGGGTCCCTGAATTGGTATCAAATTCATCCCTCTTAAGTTTTATTAATGTTTTGCTGTAATCATTACCTATCTGGTTATTAAAAAGCCAGTGCCACGTCCCTGAGGACCATGACCGGTCCTTCTAAGGACCTGTACTTCCTCATCTTCACATTACACGGCACCAGTAGAACAGGTTGAGCAGCATTTTCTTGGAAGAATGTTTAAGTGGACTCATCAACGACTGTCCACAAAGGTGACAGGGGTCAAAGATATATCCCTGAAAGTGGTCACACTCCTACTTCAACTGCTATCCAGACACGTACCAGGGCCACTGGGTGGGGCTCAAACTTGTCAAAGTCACGCTGCTGAGTCAATTTCAATTCATAGTGACCCTATAGGGCAGGGTAGAATTGCCCTTGTAGACTTTTGAGACTGTTAACTTTTTACGGGAATAGAAAGCCTCATCTTTCTCCCCCAGGGTGGCTGGTGGTTTCAAACTGCTGACCTGGCGGGTAGCAGCCCAAGACATAACCCACTATGTCACCAGAGCTTCTCCACTCTGTGATGAATGTTGGCGCTGAACCCAAAAAGGGAGCCCCTGAGGGGAGAGATTGTTCCAGGCTTCTATAAAAATAGCTTACTAGAATTCTACTGTGTTAACTTGTTTCCTAGGGAGGCAGTAAGACAGTGATTGGTAAGGGGGACTGAGAAAAATCTGTAAGCTGTAAAGGTAAGACCTTGGTACTAAATACAATACACTAGTATTCTTGGCAGACTCTCAGTGTCCTAAGAGCTCTGCGATACATGCCCGTAGTCTGGCTCACCTCGCATCGGTAGCCCCCGATGAAGTCACTGCAGGTGGCTCCGTGCTGGCAGGGGTTGGACGCACACTCATCCAGCTGCTCCTCGCAGTAGCTCCCGGTGTAGCCCATGGGACACTGGCAATGATGTGTGCTGCCGGCACTGATACATACCCCAGAGTTCTGGCACAGGCGGTTGAGAGGCACTCCTGGAAAACCGGGGGGAGGGGGGAGGCACGGGGGGAGGACAGCAGAAAATAAAAGGGCACATGGTACATGTCAGGGTTGGATTGAATTGAGTCACGAGCAAGCGACTCTAAGCCAGTCAACATGTCAAATTTTATTCTTTTGGAGTTCACCCGCCTCGATGCCAGATTTCTGCTGAAACAAACCAACCCTGAGAGTGGAATACAGCTGGTGAGTTTGAACTGTTGACTTTTTGGTTAGCCGCTAAGCACCCACCTCTGCCCCTTCACCTTGCATCTCCGACCCTTTGCTCAGAGGGCTGCCGTTCACTACTATCTTCTCCTGCCAGAGCAACCCTCGCCCCTAAGCAGTGCTGGTCCCTCATGACCCGTAACCCACGGGGGCAGAGCTCACTTCTGAGGGAGGCTGCCACCTTGCAGGAGACACTGGGCACGTCACAGTAGGCACCAGCCCATCCTGGGGGACACAGGCACCGGAACATGGCTTTGTCCTGGACGCAGGTACCTTTGTTTTTACAAGGAGCCTGGCTGCAGAGGTTCACCAGTGTCTGGAACAGAGGCAGGGGTGCGCACACATCAAGATCCGAACCCCGAAAACGACAACCATAAGTTACAGGGCGTTTCAAGGAATCCAAGGGGAGCACAATAGTTAATCACATAGTAATTTAAAAGCTCCTATCTAAGCTTTAGGCCCTCATTCCCAGGTCCGGACAGCCCTTCCTGTTATTATCTTGAAGTTCCCTTTGAGTTGGCTCTGATTCCTGGAGACCCTGTGTGTGTCTGGGCTTATCTGTGCTTCGTGGAACTCCCGAGGCTGCACCTTTCAAAGACAGGCCAACAGGTCCCTCTGCTGAGTGGGCTTGAATCGCCAACCCTTTGGTTAGCATCCAAACAGCCAAGTGTTTTGCTTAGTCCTGCTATTCAAAGTTCTTACCATCGATGTTTAGGACTGTGAGGTAGCCCAGTAAGTTAAGTCATACCCTGTATGCCAACCTTCCTGCAGATGGCAGCAAGCTAGCTGCCCTGCCACAGGGGAAGCCCCGCCCCAGAAGCAGGCCGCCTTAGCACCAGGCTCCCTATCTGTGCACCTGTTCTTTAATGATTATTCTGATTGCTAACTTTCTTTCTGTGTCCCTACCGTAGAGGGAACTGATATATCGACTCCACATGCTTATTTTTCAGCTGTTCTTGGTAAGTCTGTTTTAACGATCTTATTATGCTTGGGAAGCCCTAGAATCTTATCAGTGTCCCCACTGTGCAATTTACCAGCTAGTAGGAAGTTATCTAGATTTATTTCAAGGATATCTTGGAAACTAGAATTTTCTCTTTTAGAGGGGATTGATTCTCTCTGAAAAAAGAATGATGTTTAAGGCTCAGGTACTGTGAGAGAGCTGAGCAGGTGGGGAGGAAGGTCATTACCTGACAGTTTTTCCCGGTATAGCCCAGAGGGCAGGAGCAGCGGTACGACCCCAGGCCATCAATACACGTCCCCTCATTCAGGCATGGGTGAGAGTTGCATTCATTGATCTCATGGAGGCAGAAGGGGCCAGTGAAGCCCATTGGGCACAAGCAGGAGAAGGAATTGATCCCGTCGATGCATGTGCCACCATTGAAACAGGAGCTAAGGAGCAAACGTTGAAGCAACATCAGTTTTGTGACCTGGGAAAGTGAGGTTCTGGAATGTGAAAATGTTCCCAGGAGACCTGGGCGTCTGCAGAAGGTTGAACTCGCCCGAGATTCCTAGAGGAGGGCAAGTTGTCCAGGTTTCCCCCTATATTTCATTATGAAAGAACGGAGCACACTCCTTGACAAAAATCAAACAAGAAGCTGCCCACAGATCAGAGAGCACTGACAAGTCTGCAAAGATAAAGAGGGTTTGGGATCACGTGGAAAAGGATGATCCTCCTCCCACTATGCTTTTCAACCTCTGACCCTAGTGGGCAGGAAATGGGTGATGGTTGTGGACATGGAACCCAAGTGGGCATCTCTTCCCTGCCCCTACTACCCCAGCATGGCATGCCCCCTTGCTCCTTTTCCCCAGAGGACACTGCACTTGGACCCATGGGGGCTCACCTCTCGGTGCACTCATCAATGTTGTTCTCACAGTGGACTCCATCAAATCCCGCCTGGCATTTGCAGGTGTAGCTGCTGACATAGTCGGAGCAGGTCCCACCATTCTTACAGGGTTCGCTCAGACACTCATCCATGTCTGTCTGGCACTTATCCCCAATGAAACCCGGAAGGCAGAGGCAGGAGAAAGTGTTGACTCCATCCACACAAGAGCCTCCGTTCTGACAGGGATCTAAGGATCACACACGAGAATCAGAGCTCGGCACAGCAGCGTTACCTTAGACCCAGAAAGGTGAGTGGCCTGAGCCAAGTCACACAGAGGGCAATACAGAGTGTGGCTTTCCCCCAGTCCTCCATTTGCAGAAATGAATGCACTGGCATCTGCTGGCTCAGTAACCTCCTTTTTACATGGGATCAGCCTTGATGATATCTCCTCTAACAATTTTGTAATATTAAGAATTACAGACATTGTACTGGTCTCCCATATACTTACAATTTTCATAACTCTTAGCTTTAAAATTTTCTAAATCAAGTATGTATCCCCAACACACCAAACACCAGAGTTATAAGCAAATAGGGAAGTACACACTAAATCCACAAAGGAATATCATGATGAACCCGCCTGGGGGCTAACGCGAGAATGAGGGCTCAAGCCAAGTGTTCCCGCAGGTCATGCAACGGAACCCTCATACGATGCTTGCTGTCAGGCAGCCCTGGCTCAGAGAAACGCCATGGGCAAAGGGGTCAGACTCTTGTGACCCACTGGGTTGCTGCTGGTGGATTTTCCAGTGTATCTCCAGGTCTTTCTCCCTAGTCTGTCTTAGTCAGGAAACTTCACTGAAACTCGACCAGCATCACAGCAATACTCGAGCCTCCACTGACAGGCAGCGGCGGCTGCAGTGGCGGTGCACTGGCTGGGAACTGAAACCAGTGCGGGGTTTCTCCACTGCTTCTTACAAAAAGGCTAGTGGAGATGAAAATGGTACCAAATCTAGTAAAGCAGTTTGGGAATTTCTTACAAATCTAAAACATGGCTACTCCATGACTCAATCATTTCACTCCTAGCTATTCACTCCGAAGAAACAGAACCATATGCTCACAAAAACATACTTTCATATTAGCTATATGTGTAGTACCCCCCAAGCTGGAAAACAGCCCCCATTGTTCATCAACTAAAGACTTGTCTAGCCACACAATGGAACAATTCTCAGAAATGAGCTCGTGATATATCTCCACAAGGACATGGATGAATGAACCTCAAAACATATACTAGTTGAAAGAAATCAGTACAACAAAAGAGAATATGTATTGTATGATTCCATTTACATATAACTGTCAAAAACCACAAGCTCATCTATAGGGTAGGTCCTTGACAAGGATGTGGGAGGGAAAGCCACAGAAAAAACAAAAACGAAATCATTACAAAAGGGATGGGGAAACTTCAGAGGTAGAGTGTTTGAAGCCATGGTTTCACAGAGATTGTGTCAAACCTGTCAACTTGTATACTTCATACAGAGAGAGTGCACTGGATGTCAATTATACCTCAAGAAATCCGCCTAGACAACAAGCTGATCTCAGCAGTGTCCCCACCCACCTCTTCAACGTATGGGATTTAATAGGAGAATGCTTAAAAGAGATCCCATTGTCTCAATTCTTTTTTTTTTTTATTTCATGAGTGCACTCTATAATATCTTTGAGGGGAAAAAATGATACCAATTCTACAGTCTACCCAAACATATTAAAAATAACCCTCACTCCTTTAGAGTAGGTTCCAACGTATAGCCACCCTACGACATATAGCCACTACCATATATATACAGCCACCCTATAACATATAGCCACCCTTCAATGTATAGCCACCCAATAGGACAGGGGGAACTGCCCCTGCCATTGTCTCAATTCTTAAAGACACGAGCTTGAAAAGGGGGGAAAAAACCCAACCAAACCAAAACCCCCAGCACAAGCCCCACTAATATTCAAGACACGAGAGCAATGACCTGCACGGCCAGTATGCGTACCGAGAAGAGCCCCTGCCGCCTCGCGGAGGAGTCCTCCTCACCTATTCCCTAGGTGCATTCTCTTGCCTGCTAGGGCGCAGGCGCTAGCTGGCATTACTCACTGGCAAGGCAGTCATCGACATCCTCCTCACAGTCCATGCCACTGAAGCCTGGGGGGCACTCGCACATGTAGCTGCCTGGGGTGTTATGGCAGACACCATGGTTCCTACAGGGCTTGGAGACACACTCGTCCACGTCAGTTGTGCACCGCTGACCTAGAAACACAGGGGCAGTGAGTGGCTCGACCTATGGAAACTGGCTCTCACGCATATCTATGGGTAGGTAGCCTGGCCTGTAGCTGGGGTGCATGGGGCTGCTTTCGGGACATCCTGGTCGGTCTCCTGGTTCGGGGAGTTTCACGAAGACTTCTCTACCTTCTGGGGAAACTGCTTCCAAAGGACCCAAATTTCCTATGAAACACCCTGGTTTGAGACTATGCTGCTGGGTTAGAGTCTTCTAGCCACTAGGTGGCTCCAAAGACCTGGATAATGGAGTGTCTATGTAATGAGCCCTACCGGTATAGTGGGCTGCTAACTGCGAGGTCAGCAGTTCAAAACCACTAGCTACTCCACTGGGGAAAGAGGAGGCATTCTGATCCTACGAAAATTTACAGCAACAGTTCTCAACCTGTGGGTCGCGACCCCTTTGGGAGTCGAATGACCCTTTCACAGGAGTCGCCCAATTCATAACAGTAGCAAAATTACAGTTATAAAGTAGCAACGAAAATAATTCTATGGTTGGGGGGTGCTGGTCACCACAACAGGAGGAACTGTATTAAAGAGTTGCGGCATTAGGAAGGTTGGGAACCACTGCTTTACAGTCTCGAAAACTAACAGGGCTTCTATCCTAACTGGGGGCTGTGAGTCAGAATCCACTCAATGGTAGTGAGTTTGGGTTGGGAATGTGAGCAATTCCTATATAAGATTCTCGGGGTCAGTTCTTGAAGTGGATGGATAGTTCACAGAAGATCAGAGGCTTCCTGTTATCTGATAACCTGATCACTTTGTTTACGGTTCAGAATGCATTTTCCTAGGCTCTTCCAACCCCACTGCTGTTACCTTGCCAGCCAGGAGTACATGAGCAGGTGTAACTCTCAAAGTTTGGTGCCTCTTTGCAAAGAGCAGCATTCTCACAAGGGTTCGGGGAGCAGGGAGCCAATACAGTCTGACAATTTTTGCCTGTAAAGCAATTGGCAGAGTTTATGACAGAGAACATCCCCAGGAGACCGCACTAAGAGGCAGCTGCCACATGAGGCCTTCCCTCTGTGCCTTATGTTTTATTACACCAGGCAAGCCTCACTCAAGTTTTAAAGACCTTGTTGAGTACAGACTGTCTGCCTTAAGCCACAGCATTTTCAATGACAAAGCCTGGGCAGTGAAGAGAGGGAGAGAAAAGAACTGATGCATATGAAGTGTGGCATTGGCAAAGATTATTGAATATCCCATGGATTATTCAAAAGGACAAACAAATCCACTTTAGATGAAATGCAACTACAATGTTCCTTAGAGGTGAGAATGGCAAAAAGTCAGCTCACTTACTTTGGAGACACCGTTAGGGAAGATCAATTGCCAGACAAGCACATCTTGTTTGATCAGGTAGGTGGTCGGTGAAAATGAAGGATACCCTTGATGAAATGGACGGACACAATGGCCTCGCCTACACCAACTATCAAGAGCAGTCCGACTTCAGCCACGTGTCAGGTGACTAGAGTCGACTGAACGGCAGCTGACCATTACCACAGCCAAGTGCTCAACAGGCTTTTGAAACCGAGGCATCTCCAACACTTGGACTCTCGGCTCTGATATCTGCCACTACTAATCATGTGACCTCGGGAAAGTGATTTGTCTTCGAACTTTCCTTGTACGTGAAATAGGAATAAGAAGATAACATAACTCACAGGGGTTTTCTTGAGAATGAGAAAATTCACACTAAGTCCCTATCCTTGAGCAAGTCACAGGTCTTTGTCTTCTTTTCATGCATAAAATGATGACAGAAACATCTACTTTGTGGAATGTTTTCATGTGAACTAGAGGAAAACATTCAGGGAGTATAAAAACACCTGGTACATCACAAATTATCCATATGAGAGGGCCTTAAAAGTTCATGGAAAACCTGAATGAATCGGTAATGGAACTTTCCCCACAAACTTTTTGCAGCCCCTGGTATACATAGTAGTTGTTTTATTATTGAAACCAAGCAACTAAAACGACGACAAGTGCAGGTCATGCTAGATTTATTTGATAAACTAAAGTGCAGGTTCGCAAACTTATGTGGCCCATTGCCCCCTTTCCAGAAAAAAATAAGATTACTCAGCACCTCCCTGGCAACGGAAACTTTCGTAGTGCAGTCCACCATCCGGAGAGAGTGTAGGTATCTGCTTTGCGGGCAGCATGGACTGTCCCAGCGCCGCCCCCCCCCCCCCCCCCACACACACACAGGCCAGGGTGCCATCACTGGACTAAACTATCAGCTGCGTTCGGATATCCAGCCATATGTATCATCTAAAATCACTACTCTCAGCACTTTGTACCCTCAAGTACAAAGGATACAAACGGGGTTCCCCACCACTTGTACCTTGGGAGGATGCAATGTTTTCTCAAAACTCAAAACCCCATCAATGAGTCAAGAAGAGCAGCTGGGAGAGCCAGTCCCTGGAATCTTGTCATCGCCTCACTGACAAGTGGCACTGAAGCTCAGTCTGACTGGCAAGGCACGTGTCTGCCTGTCCCGGTGTGGCACCTGCAGGACTCACCTGTGTAGGGGAGCACACAGTGACAAGTGTAGCCACTTATGTCATCAGAGCAGGTTCCTTGGTTCAGACATGGGTTTGAAGCACATTCGTCAATGTTCACCTGACAGTTATGACCTGCAGACAGAAAAAAAGGGGGGGGCGGTTTGAATAAAACGGTGTGATACTTCCTGCTAGCCTCCTCATTATCTCAGTCACAGACCAGTGGTCTTGCTGGGCACAACGAAACCCCTCAGACAGTGTGTTAATTTCTTCTGGCCACCAGGACACCTACACATTCATTTCACTGACAAGACCCTGGCCTACAGTCAGGCAGCAAACCACAACAGTACATTCCCATGTCCCCAAAGCCCAATGCACTTGTGATGACAATGCTTTCCCTATAAAGGACAGAAAGGGTCCCAAAGGGTAAAAGTCTGCTGCTTGATCCAAAAGCAGGCCGCCCTTTGTACAGAGTGGCACAGGGCCCTGGGTGGCACAAATGGTCCAGCACTCAGCTTCCAGTGCTCGGCCACTAATCAAAAGGTCGCCAATCTGAACCCAGAGGTGCCTTGAAAGCAAGGACTAGCGACCTGCCTCTAAATGGTCACAGCCACCAAGCACCCTACACACTTCTCTGAGTTTCCAATAGCGAACTCATGGTACAAATACAACTGGGATAACCCAAAATACTGATCTTACATAATGCTTTCTACTGTATGCTTTTCTACAAGACAATGAAACCCATTGCCGTCAAGTTGATTCCAACTCAGTAAGCCTACAGGCCAGAGCAGAGCAAGAGCGCAGAAGTGCTCTCCAGGGTTTCCACGACTGTCCGTCTTTACTGGAGCAGAAAGCCTCATCTTCCTCCCCAGAAGTGCCTGGAGGGTTTGAACCGCCAACCTGTTGGTTAGCAAAACCATGAATGGCCCATTGTACTACCAGGGCTCCTTCCAGGTGACTCCGTATCTAAACTGCCTCAGTATATAAGATTTGCTGAAAGCATTCTGAACAAATGGATTCTCCTTTGTTGTCACTACTACAAAATAAAGTGAGCACATTACTTTTTCCTTCTATGCCCACATTTCTCTTATGAATTATCATAGAACCATACCCTCCCCAGGAAATCTGTCAAAGCTCTCTAAATGAAATCTTAGCCACTTATTTTAATACTACTCCCAAAGCTCGCCTCTCTGCTAGGCTAAGAGGTGAAATGCTATCTACTGCAGCTTGTTTGTTGTACGAATGATGGGCAAAAGGAGAGGGAAACTAAGAAGCGAGTTATGTAGCAAGCATCCAGGAAGGAGGCAATGACACATGTACTTTTGCTTTCACCTTTAAAGCCCTTCTTGCAAGTACACCTGTATCCATTCACCAGATTGTCACAAGTTCCTCCATTCTGGCATGGGTTAGAAAGACATTCATTTTTGTCCACGTCACAGTTGCTGCCGACCCAGCCGGCATCACAGAGGCACTTGTACCTGAAAGAAGAGAAAACTTGCCATCAGGGGAGGTCTGTCTGCCCAGGCTGAGTCACAGAGAGAAATGAAGACTTGGTGGACAGCCAAGGGGGGCTAAGCGGCCACACTCACCCTCACTGCCATGGAGTTGAAGCTGACTCACAGGACAGGGCAGAGCTGCCCCCTGTGAGTTTCTGAGACTGTAGCTCTTTAGGGGAGTAGAAAACCCCGTCTGTCTCCCAAGGAGCCGGCTGGTGGTTTCCAACTGCTGCCCTTGCAGTTAGCAGCCCAACGCATAACCACGGTGCCCTCCCCCGACCCCGGTTTCTTATAAAAGTCCACAGGTCAATCTCATGTCTACTCTTCTATAAGCCTGTACGCGGCTCACCGTGCCCATGGTGTGAAGTTATGTGGGTCCCCCTACATTCAGTACAGAGACCTTACTTAGCTGGTTCACTAAAATGCTGGAGATATTCATGATTTCATATATAAACAGTAGTTTGTACAACAATGTTGGGCCTATCTGAGGGGAGCAGAATGGATAAACTTGCATAGCTTCTTTTCTTAGACATAAAAGATAGTAAATCTCAGCGTTTACTTTGGAAATCCTATTTCCCATATAAATCAGACACCCAGAAAATGTCAGTACGAAGGACTCTAAGCTAGTCTGAGGTACACTTGGGGTGGCTGCCTGCTGAACTATGCTGTGTCCTGACCTACAGTCCTACTTTGGGAAGAAGCACTGGCAGTGAGCAAAGGAAGGAACACAAGGGAAAGTATTGGAAATACATCCAGTGATGGCCAAGTGAACATGCTCTGTGAATGGGAGGCCCAAGTCTCCTTGTCTAGAGAGCTTGATGGAAAAGGCAGAAGGTGTGGGATGAAAAAAAGAACTTTGGAAACGCATTCATTACCCATTTATCTTTAAGCACTCTCTTCCTTCTCTCACCGGTGTGGTTTAGCAAATGGGAGTGCCTAGAGGCCTCTCATAAAGCAAGCAGAGGATAATTACTTAATGGAACCGGAGGTCCTAAGCTGTGAGTCTAGAAACTCAACTGCCAAAGCATCACAAACTCTGTCTGTGTTGACGGTGGGGCCACCAAGTCAGTTCTGACTCAAAGTGACTCTATCCACAACAGAATGGACCCCTGCCCAGTCCTGCAGCATCCTCAAACTAGTTGCTATGTTTGGGCCCATTGGTGTAGTCACTGTGTCGGTCTAGCTCACGGAGCACCGTCCTCTTTTTCTCTGATATTCGACACTACAAAACATAGTATCTTTCTTTAGGGACTGGTCCCTCCTGATAACATGTCCAAAATATGTAAGCTAAAGTCTTGCCATCCATGCTATTTATGTATTTTTGCTATCCATGCTTCTAAGGAGCATTTAGGCTGTACTTCTTCTCAGACAGCTTTGTTTGTACTTCTCCAACACTATAATTAAAAGGCATTAATGATTCTGCAGCCTTCTTCATTCACTATCCAGCTTTGATATGCATTATGAGACAACTGAAAATATCATGTATAGGTCAGTGCACCTTTATTAAGGCTTAGAGTGAAATCTTTGCTTCTCAACACTTTAAAAAGGTCTTTTGCAGCAGACTTGCTGAATGCAATATGTTGCTTGACTTCTTGACTACTGTTCCCACGTTGATTGTGGATCCAAGTCAAATGAAACCTAGAGGCCTTCGGGTCTTTCTCCGTGTATCATGGCCTAGTTGTGACGATTTTTGTTTTATATTGAGGTATAATGTATATTGAAGTCTTTTATCTTCAACAGTTCAGTACTTCAAGGCCACTTCATATCCCAAGTTGTTAATGAGTCTTCTTCCAATTCTGATGCTGAATTTTTTTTTCATATAGTTCAGCTTCTCAGACTATTTTCTCAGCCTGACAGATATCGTCCTGACTTTAAGTTATTCACTATCCCCTTATTTTGTTTGAACAATTTCCTTTGGAAGATGTATTAGTCTGGGTACTTTAGAGAAACAAATCCACAGAAACTCATGCAGAAGAGAGAGTTTTATATAAAGGGCAAATGCACATCAAGAATACATCCCAACCCAGTGCTGCCCATGCCCACAAGTCCAACATTAACCCATTGACCCAAATGTCCAACACCAGTCCACCAAGTCCTCCTCCATCTCACAAAACAGACGCAATGATGCCGACTGCAGGAGGAAAGCCGAGTCAGCGAATGTGTAAACATCTCAGCACTGGCAGGGGTCTTCACACAGGTGGTACAATAACCAGGACTGCATTGGAGTAGGTCCATGTGGCTTCTTCTCAGGAATGTCTTGCAGGAAGTGAGCCTGGCCAGCTACAACAGGGAACTGGCTAAGGCAGCCTGGTCCGACCATCAGAAAACAAGATACCCGAGAACTAGAAAGGCGAGGCTCACTGAGCCATTTATCCCTCTGCCCTTCAATTAACCCCACATGTGTTTATTGGCCAGGTTGGCACAATAAACTAACTCAGAAGATTTACAAGTTGCTCATGAGAACAATTAATTTGCCTTAATTCATTGTGATCCATAAAGCCAAATGCCTTTGCATAGTCATTAAAACATAGGTAAACAGTAAACATCTTTCTGATATTCTCTGCTTTCTTCAGCCAAGAGCCATGAATGTCAGCAATAATATCCCTCATTCCCCATCCTTTTCTGAATCCTGATTGAAGCTTAAATTGATGGTTAAGTTCCTTTGTAAATGTACTGCTGCAATTGATTTGCAATTATCTTTAGCAAGATTTTACTTACATGTACTTTTAATGCTATTGTTGATATTGTTTGATAATTTCCACATTCTGTTGGAAAATCTTGTTTTGGAATGAGTCCAACTAGGGCTCTCTTCTCATCAGTTGGCCAGGTAGTTGTCTTCCAAATTTCTTGGAAGAAAATTGTAGTAAGTCCAAAAACGCTTTGCCATAGACTACTGTGCTTCCAGGGCTGCAACTGTTTGTTAAAACATCTCAATTTGTACACCATCAATTCCTGGAGCTTTTGGTTGCTGTCGTTTGGGTTTTGCTCAATGCCTTCAGTGTAGCTTGGGCTACTTGCTTCAATACCATTGGCTCTTGATCGTACACAATCTAGAAATGGTTGGATGTCTACGAATTCTTTCTGACTCTGTATATTCTATCTTCTTTAAATGTTTCTTCGATCATTCAATATTTTGCCACCAGGTTCCCTCAATATCGCAGCATGACGTTTCCAATTTTTATCTTTCGCTCTTGCCGCCTGAGGCATGCTGAGTGTACTCTCCTCTTTGGGTTTTCCAGCTCCAGGGCCTTGCACTTTTCATTACCATGCTTTATTTTTTAAAACACCTTATCAGGGGCTCTTACAAGTCTTATGACAATCCATCATTCAATTGTATGAAGCACACCTGTACATATATTGCCATCAACATTTCCAAAACATTTTCTTTCTACTTGAGCCCTTGGTACCAGTTCCTCTTTGTATCCTTCCTCCTCCACCCTCCTGCCCTCGTGAATCTTGATCAATTACATATTATTATTATTATTATGTTGCTTTCTTGAGCTATACCTACCCTTTAATATTTTCTGTTCAGCTCGTTTATGCTGTCATTTTTTCCATTTGCGTGGGCTACTCTACATTCAAAAGCATGTTTCAAAGTTTCTTCTGATAGGCATTCAATCTTCTCTTTTCCCCCCATATATCTATTTAAAGGCCTTTTGCTTTCTTCGTGTTTGATGTCCTTGGTATAATCCTACAATTTCTCTGTTCCTTGGTCAGCAGTGTTTAATGCATCAAATCTGTTCTTGAAACGATCTCAAAATGTCGGTGGGATGTACTCTAGGTTGTTCTCTGACCCTCATGAGCTTGTCTTAATTTTTTTTCAGCTTGAACTTGAACTAGAGCACTTGATAGACTTGCAGACTATACATATCTTATCAGGACCATGTCTAAAACGAGGTGGCACCATGTTTAATTCACCAGCATGCACAAGTACTGCAGTGGAACTGAGTCTAGTTACTTTTAAGCAGTCACAAAGGTCAGAGGCTAGATTATGGCTCAAAACGTAATCCTGTGGTAAGTTCAAAAGCCACAATTGGCTAAGTTCATAAAATAACCCTGGACTCCTCCGCTGACACACTCACTGACCATCTAAGTAAGAGAGACATCCCCCCTGGATTTTCTACTTAGGGACAGCAAGGAGCGGCCAATTTCCACTGGTGAATTTGTGATTTTGAAGGTCTTAATGCAGACTGCCAAAATCTTCGACCAAGTCACAGCTCAAGTTTCCAATTCCTGGTTTCTGCAGGATAATGCAGTACTGACACCCAACTGCCTTGACAAAGACCAGTAAGAAACCATGAATACACGGTAGCTACTCACCCACTGAGGCCTCCGGTGCAGTTTCCATGAATGCAAGGGTTGCTCAGGCAGTCATTCACTTGGGAATAGCAGCTGGGGTGGTGGGGCCCCTCAGGGCATACACAGCGAAAACTGTTCACCTCATTGATACACGTCGCACCTTTGCGGCAGGGGCTGGAGGCACACTCATCAATGTCGACGTTACATCTCTGCCCTGCAGGGAGGGGGCACTTCGGTAAAATCCAGAATGATCAGGGAAGAGACATAGAACAAGACATATTCTGTGGACATTCTTCATCTGCACAGGGCATAACAGATCCGGGTCACCAAATGCCAGGATTTAAGGCATAGCATACCAAAGCACTCAGATCCAGGTAGGAAAGCGTGAACGCCGCCATCAAGGAACAGTTAGGGAAATGAATGAAATACTAGAACAGGGTTGTAGCATTTTGACTGGTATTCTTTCTTCACTTTACCTTAGAGATGGGGAAACTTCACAAGGCTTTAAAAGGAGCTATGGGATGTGATCAAAGATGCTATTCTCCGAACTCTCGGAGAAACTCTTTTCACCACTGCTTTCTGCTGGTCTACCAAGAATTCCCTGTCTTAGTTATTCAAGCTCTTATATTCCTACATATTACAAATCTCAATCAACTGAAGTGCTTAGAGACTGAACTATTAACTTACTGATTCAATTAGTGAAACAGAGAAGGTACTTCATTTTCATTTTTAGAGTTTCATTAATCTGTTCTCTGTATTGAATCCAGAGTCCACTAAGCACACTTGATTGTCCTCTGATTAGCTAGAAAACAGTTCAGGCTTTCTCACTCTAGACCAGTGACTCCCAAGTTTTAAAGTGCAAAAAAAAAAAAAGAAAAAAAGTCACTTGTTTTAAATGAAGATTCCTAGGGCCTATTATCATAGCTTGTGATGGATTGGGCCAGCAACCCATATTTTAAGGAAAAAAAGCCCTGGTCCCGATGACTTCACTGGATAATTGCATCAAACATTCAAAAGAAGAGCTGATATCAACTCTACTATTCAAGAACATAGAGGAGGCTGGGATACTCCTCAATTTATGTGATATAGCAAGCATAACCTTGTTATTAAAGCCAGGCCAAGACAGCATTAAAAAAGAAATTCAAAGACCAATATTCCTCATGAATATATATACAACACTCCTCAACAAAATCCAATCAACAGAATCCAACACCTTACCTAAAAACACAGTACATTACAACCAAGTGGGATTCATACCAGTATGTAAGTATGTTCATAACATTAGAAAAGAAGCAATGTCAAGACGAGGAGGGAGCAGTATTAGAGCTTAAATTCTGAACAGCTGGTTTGTTGAAAGCTGTGTATGCCAATGAGAGCCCCAAATCCTTTTGTAGCATCCTCACGTAGCTTAAGTCTCTGGGGAATCCCCTCTGACCGTTGCCCAGGGATACGAATAGGCTTGCTATCAGGCAGAGTTCACTGGAAAGTGGACTAACGCATATATAATTAAGTTAAATTTTAACGTCTCATTATTTGTCCTTTTTTACCCATTTGAATTTTTCTAGTTTTTACTATTTTCTGCTTTCTTTTTGATTGAGGTTTTCTGTTTTATTTTGCTACTTCTTTTAATGTGAAATCCAGGATAGGGTAAGCTATAGAAATAGTTACTGGGTTAATAACTTCTTAGGGTTCTGGCAGGGGAAGTGGGGGGTAAGTAGGGAGCGAATAGTAAAAAAGTGTAATAATGAAAAAATGTTTTAAAATTGACTGTGGTGGTGATTGTCCAACTCTAATATTTGAAACCACAGAATTGCATGATGTGTGAATCATGTCAATAAAACTTATAATTGTAGAAAGAAAAAAATCCATGTCATCCACTATAGAATAAAAGCCAAAGAGCCACATGATCATACCAATTAGTGAGGAAAAGGCACTTAATAAAATCTAATACTCATTCCTGAGTATTTCATTTCATTTGGAAATGAAGAGTAGAACAGAAGGGAACTTCCTCATCATGTTTGAGGGTATATATGCAAAACCACCAGCCAACATTACTCTCAAGGGAGAGAGATTGAAAGCATCCCCCTTCTGAATGAGCACCAGACAAGGATGCGCTCTAGCACTACTCCTGTTCAACACTGTAGTAGAAGTCCTGGCCAGAGCAAGAAAGCCAGAAAAGGAAGTAACAGGCATCCGAATTGGTAAGGAGGAAGTGAAATAAAAGTACCGCTATTTGCAGGTGATATGAATCTACACAGAGAAACCCTCACAGGCACAGCAAGAAAGTTGCTGAAACTATTTGAAAGTGGTAGGGTACGAACAAGATCAACAGTCAAAAATCAACCAGATTCCTTTACATCAACAAAGACAATGCAATTTACATAGCTCCCATAAAGATAAATACTTAGGTATAAAGCTGACCAGAGATGCAAAAGACTTATTCAAAGAAAACTACAAAACACTGCTACTAGAAACTAAAACAGACTTACATAAATTGTAGCACATAGCATGCTATTACATTGTGGAAATGTTAGTACTATTCAATGTAATCTATAGCTATTGGCATTGCATTATCAGCATTCTATGCAATGAGGTTCTATCATCATTCTTTAAGGAGATAGAACAACCAATCACTAATTTTATATGGAAAGGAAAGACACCCCAGATAACAAAGTACTTCTGAAAAGGAAGAACAAAGTACTTCTGAAAAGGAAGAACAAAGTACAAAGTCTCCAATTTCTCAATTTCAAAATATACTAATACAGTTATGCTAGGCAAAATAGCCTTGGTCCTGGTACAGTGGCACATATGTAGACCAATATAGTTATATAGACAATGGTAGATATATAAACCATACATATACAACCGAGAGTGGGATTGAGAATCCAGAAGTAAATCCATCCACCCATGGACAACCTATTTTCAACAAAGGACTGACACCTATGAACTGGAAAAAGACAGCATCTTGAGCCAACAGCGAAGGCACAACTGTATATTCTTGTGCAGAAAAATGAAACAGGATCTGTCCCTCAAAATACCTATAAAACCAAACTGCAAATTGAACACAGACCTATTTGTAAAACCTGAAACAATAAAGATCATCAAAGACAAAAAAAATAGGAGCAAATGTAAGGGCCCAAATTTACAGCATAAAGACCATCACATGTAATCATGGTTCAAAAAATGTACAAACAACAGAAGACGATGTGGGGGGGGGGATCTTCGAAAAATCAAATATCACGTGCATCGAAAGACTTCTGCAAAAAGAGTTTGGGGAGAGTAGAAAGAGTTTGGGGAGAAAAATTCAACAAGAGGCTAATCTCAAAAATTCATAGAAAACCTTAACACCACCACAACAAAAAGACACACAACTCGATTTTTAAAATGGGGAGAAGGCATGAACATACACTTCACCAAAGATGGTGCTCAGGCAGGCAACAACCAACCACAGGAAGAAATGGTCACAATCATTCTCATTAGAGATGAAATCAAAACAATGAGATATCATTTCACCCCAGCAACGAGAGCAAAGTAAGACAGAAAACAACACAGCCTGGTGAGAGTGTGGAGAGCCTGGAGGAATGTAGAGTGGTGCAGCCACTGCGGCACTGCCTTACAAAGTTTGGAAATGGAACTGTGATACAACCTACAGAAGTAGAGGCTGGGACACAGATTAATATGTATACACCTATGTTCACTGTAGCATTATTCGCAACAGCAAGGAGACGGAAACAAACATACACAGGGGAATAATACGATGCAGAGTTAAAGAACAACACAGAATTCCCAACACCTCATAAAGTGGATGAATCTGAAAGACTTGGTGATGAGTGAAGTAAGTCAATCACAGAGGGACAAATATTGCATGAGCTCGTTATAAGAAGTCAAAGGAATGTTTACCGTAATTTGATGGTTACCAGGGCTGGGAGGGAAGGGAAAGGAAAATCACTAACTAGATGAGAACCCTCCCCCCAAAACAACCTCACTTCCGTAGAGTTTTGACTCACAGCAACTTTACAGGACAGAGTAGACCTGCTCTACAGGATTTGCCAGGCTGTCAACCTTTGTCGAAACTGACTGCCTAATGGTTCTCCCAGAACAGCTGGTGGGTGCGAACTGTGCTACTGACCTTTCATTAGTAGCCCAGTGCTTAACCCATTGTGAGACCAGGGCTCTTGAACTAGACATTAGATACATATTAATCTGGGTGAAGGGAGAGACAAGATACAGTAAGCAGCTGATGAGCACGCACAATATAACTCCAGAGAAGGAAGACGCAGAAAGTGCACAAGAGTTACTGACAACAAAGGTAAATACTATCACGCACAATCCTACATTATCAGTAATAAACACTAATGTACGAGTGGACATATAGGCATACAGGCAAGATGAACAGGTATAAGTAGAATAAAGGGACTAAATTCATGGCCATGTGTAGGCTTGGCAGACGATACGTGTGTATACTGTAAATATATGCAAGTAAGTAATGAACAAACAGGGGGCAAAGGTATGCAAACTTCTTAGACGTAACCAAACACCTTGAGGAATGTGGCATTGGGCCTGGAGGCTCAAGACCACAGTCCCAGGGACATCAAGGTCACTGTGGATCTCTCACTGTCCAGGGTAAAGAAGAGTGAGGAAACCAAAGGCCTAATGGACGAGGCAGAGACCAGAAACAGATGGTGCCTGGCTATCACTGTCAACTATTCTCACGGGATCACAACAGAATGTCCGAATAGGATGGGGGTCAAAATGGGGGTCCAAAACTCAAAATCATAAATAAGACCACATTTGCTACTCAAATAGAGACTGGTGAGACCACCAAGACCATGGCCCTTAGTCACTCTTCAGGCTTGGAACTAAGCTCATCCTGATGGGTCAACGTTTAGCCAAACAGTAGACAAGCCTATAAGGTGAACAATAATACCAGAGGGGTATGTACTCCTTAGAACGACTCGCCATGAGAAATCAAAAGGTCAGGATTTTCCAAGGCATAAAGCTCAGAAGGCAGGAAGGGGTGACAGAGAAGGAAGCGAGGAAACAGTACCAACGGGGAAGATGGAGCAAGAGTGCTTGTTTGTTACACTGTGGGGATTACAATCAATGTCATGAAACAAATGTGTATGAATGGCTGAATAAAAATCCAAGGTGCTCTGTAAATTTATACTCAAATCAGAATAAAAAGCTAAATTAAAAAAAAATTTTAATGCAAAT